CCCTTGGCAGTGCATTATCACAGAACATAGATAGCCACTTTCTTCACAGTCAGGGGCTTTTTTCAACCAAAAGAAAACATTTCAGTAATAATAATGCTCAAAAATAATGCTTCATTTTTCCCAAGTGTGTGAAAGGATTTGTTTCCATTCCACTATGAAATCAAATGACTGTTCTGCACTTTTCATAACACTAATTCCCATGTCCTCCTAACCACCTTTCCCTTATCTTTACGACAAGGCAGGCCTCAAGATATTAAGTGTCCTTAGTCAAATCTTACACGTGTGACACTAGTAGAAAAAGAAACAACAGTGACAGGTCCACTGAGGTATTGACAACATAGTTCAACCGTGCATTAACAAAAAATTGAGGTGGTAAAACATAATTTTAAACTATACACACTAATTCTCCACATTAATAATTACAGGTAACTAATTCTATGATGGCAAAACCTTTCCTGGTATGTACTTCTTACCCAATAAAAATAAGAAATAATAAGAAGAAATTCAAACATTAACATCTATCTCTCAAGGGGCTTATCTTTTCACCTTATAGGTTTCTTAGTTATGGTAATTTACTAATAAATATGTTCAAGCTTTTTCTTTTAATTGCCAGTTCAGAAGGCTCTCAGCTGCAAAATACCTGCATTCTAAAGCAACGCTGAACAGGTTTCCTTTCAGTAGTCCCAGTCACACATTTTTGATGTCTGCATTTATTCTTACTTAGAAAAGGCTACTACCTCCATAAAAATGAAATATAAAGATGTATCTTATTTAAACTGTTTTAACTCTGTAATCAGGAGTATTAAGAATGTTTTCAACTTGATCACATTTTTTATTCTCCTTTAATTTATTTGCATTTCCCAGTTTCTCATTTAGACATGTTACCTGCTGCTTTGATGGCCCTTACAGCTACCTAGGAAAAAAGGAAAAAAAAACCTAACATACGTTTTGCCTGTGAATGAAACAGTGTCCACAGTACCTGGGATACAGGCCAACACCAACATCCTGCATCTCTCCATTACTGATGGTGAAACAGTTACAGGTCACCTGTAAAAACAAGGGAAAAAATCCAGGATTACCAGAATCATTTGGAAAACCCATACTCAAGTGAAAAAAACTTTCAAAATAAAATGAAGGGGCAATTGGTAATTGGATGGGAAACATTCAAGCCCAACACTGGTGCTCTTTCATTTTAGAGCAATCACATCTGGGACACACTCTCCTGTAAAACTGCAGTCAATTAAAAGCAGAAATATTAGTATCCTGCAAAAATGTGGGGTTAAACACATGCAGAGGCCCTACTTTCCTGTCAAAAAAAACCGCGTGCGGGTCAGTGGGGGGGGGGGGGGGTGGGGGGGGAAGCCACCCTACACAGAGTCTGAGAAGCTCAGCCCAGAATCAACATAGCAGATGACAGTGACTGCTGATTAAAAGAGTGGCTGTTTCCGTGCAGGGACTCTGCTGATCCCAGGCTGTCACAGCACCTTTTCATGAGTACCAGTGGAGCCTAAAGAATATATATGGGACAGTTTTGAAGTAAATTGCAGCCTTGACTGTGGCAACCTGATATGGGCATAAATAAATACAAAGACTGTGCAGTAGCGTATCTTTCACGTTACAGGTGTTTTGGTTTCCATATAAAAGATCCCACAAAAAAGCATGTTCAAATTGCCATTCAAGAGAAATATAACCTTTCATTTAATCTCAAATATTCAGCTTGATAGTGTATTCTTCCCTCATACAATCATACAAAGCTAAAGTGGTTTTAGAAAAGAGTGGAGAAGAATGGAAGTTGCTTGCAAGTAGATATAGCGCTACCCCAAACTATCAGACTGAAGTTTCTTGGTGTTCAACTCCAAGATAGATCAGCACTTTGTAAATGATTAGCAAGTATCATTTTCATGGGCTTAAACAAGAACCAGAACCCAATTCCTAATGTATTTTTTAAATATCTGCTTTTTTTTGGAACAGCTGGGGTTTTTTTTGTTTGTTTGGGGGTTTTTTTTATTTATTTTTTAGATAATCTGTTGGTCAGTTATCAATGACATACTAATAAAATATTTTATGTAGAAAAACACTGCGTGATACTGCATATGCAAGAAAAGTCCCAGGTCTCTTCTGCATAACATTAGATTATTAATATCATTAATTCTCGTTAGAACAGAAAATGAGTTAGAGTAGGATTTGGCAGATGTGAAAATAAGATTTGAAAGTTGCAGTTTTATCCATAGAGTAATTGCCCAGAACAGTAAATGCACACCTCTATTTTAAAGAGGTACACTGAACAATTTAATAGTATATCTCATCATACAAATTGACAAATTATTATTTATGAGAGCATTAACCATAAGGTGAAAATGAAATCCTCTTTCAAAATTTCTCATAAATTCTGACAGCAATGTTAATTTAAATAAATGTACATGCAGTAGGGCATGTGTTTTTTAAATGGTTAGACAATACTTTGATTAGTCTATTATTTATGTAACCCATTCAAATGTTCCTGATCAATTACCAAAAGCATACATCTTAATTTTCTTTCCTACTGGCATTGGATATAAAGTGTCAGACAACTTCTGAGCAAAGATTAGTCCATTTAAAGTGGCAATTATCCTGGTTCTAAAAATATTGACTTGATTTTGGTATTTATTGAAAAAATAATGCCTTCCAGGTAAAAGAGAAAGAAAGCCAGCTTTTGCGGACCTTAGCGCTCTCTAACGGATTATGAAGTAGCAGAGGTCAAACATCTCTTAGAACTAAATGAATCCCTTTTCCTTGCAAATCTCCTATTATTACCCTAAAACTGTTTATATTAACAATATTGAATTTTGATCACTGTAGAGTTATAGAGACTGTTTCATCATTTTCTATTAAAGGTATGTATTCTATTACGTGAAAAGTTTTACACACAGAAGTAGCAATAGTTTTACTTTTTCCTTTTCATAAACGTGAATTAGCTTTTTATACCAGGATATATGTGAAGAAAAATGTGAGATGAATGGATGCTCTCAGATTCAGACCTCAAGAGCTTCTTTCAAGAGTAGTTCACCATGAGGCGCTTTTTAACCTCTCTGGTTTAGATATTTTCACAGTATGCAGTTGCATCTCAATATCCCAGAGAGGTAGTGAAACACCACCTAATTTCTAATTATTTGCAGTTTCAAATATGAGACTGGGAATCCGAAGTATACAGGGTCAGATCTAAAAATGTATTTAAGTATGTAAACACAGGCAGAAGCCTAAATGGTCCCATGAATTTTGAGCTACATGATTTTGCACACAATCCTACCAGAGGCATAAGAGGTTTCAGGTGCTCTGAGGTTTGATTAACCTCCCGGGAGACAATCTTTCCTCCCTTTTAAACTCGGGTATGAAAAAAACAGTGATGCACATGTAAAGTGTACTACAGATAGTAACCTTTGTTATGGCTGCTTTCTGTCCTCAGCAAGTAGAGAGAGAGGAATTGAGATGGTGGTGATGGGAGGAAGATCTCATCATTTATGGTGTGAGAAATTCTGATACAATGACAATCCTTCACGGACAGTTAGCAGCTGGTAACAGGTATCAAATATGAAATCTCCATAGTCTGTTAACTGAGGATGGGGTTGTTTGTTTGTTTTCTTTCAGATTTGTTACAAAGTCTCTTAAGAATCTACTGAATCTACTCTTTTAAGAGGTTTTAAATCTCAAAGTTAAAGATCAGTCCTACCAAGGTGAGTTCTGTCATTTCAATCCAAAAGTCCACCACAAGAGCTGATGTTGTAGACCACACCTCCCAAGAAACAAAAGGAAGAAGGCATTTCTGTTACAGAACACCTGAAGAAATACCCATTTTTCTAGCTTCCCAGGATTCACAGACATAGCTCAAATAACAGCTAAATCTAGAGTATCTAACACTGCTGCAGGAGAGCACAGGTAAGCTGCTTGTTCCTGAGACAATCGTTTACGGACCAAAACCTACTGGGACTGGAAGTTAACCAACTCCATTTCTAGGGAAAAAAACCCAAGGCAAAATAAGAAACATCTTTCTCACGCATCACAGTATTTCTTTCAGGTTTCACAGTCACCTTGCATTGTCTTTTCTGCCCTAACGGACCCACCTTATTCCTTATACTACAGTCAGGTTCTGTGTGATCCCAGATTTTAAAATAAGAAAGAATAAACAATTCTTGGCAATCTGGTGCTTCAAGAAATGGGTTCATCCTTACAAAAGCATGGTCCTTGTCAACTTAACTCCTGCAGAATCATTTATCTCAGTTATTTAATTTGTGCTGTTGTTCAGCTTGCCCCTTCTGATTCCTCTAAAAATTCCTCTCTATCCAGCTACACAGCACTAAAACTGCATATCCACATACGGAGACAGAACAGAGTACTCACAGTTTGTTATACCCACAAATAAGGAAAAATGCCCACATAGTTCAGAACTTCAAAGTTGTAAAGTCAAATTCCTTGCCATTTCTAACATTTCTGAAATAACACATCTCCCAGCAGGAGAACCGAGGGAAAATTCTCAGGGGAGAGTCACAGACTTTTCAAACCTCTGCAATGTAAAACTTTCTTCGGAGTATCCTAGAGCTCTCAAGGCTTATCGTTATAGCCTGATCGGCCATACAGTTCACTAACAATTTAAAGAATCAATTCTCAGTGTTTGAGTTGGCTCCATGGCAATAAATCCCACAAGATTATTTAAAAGGAACTGCTATTTCAAACAACAAACAATATTATATAAACTGATTGAATTAAATAAAAGGATTTGTTCTTTTGAGACACTGCACATGTTTTAGAGAGGCATCCTATACTCAGTAAGGTAACCCAAGTAGAATACAATCTTTCCCAGACTAGTAAACACACAGAGAGTAAACCAACTTTACTGACTGACCATTATACTCAGGCATACTTTATCAGTAAACAAAAATTACCGCAATCTGTTATATTTTACTTCCTCTCTGAGTGACATATGAAAACTCTGTAAATTCACCTCATAAGGAGGTCTCTGTTCTCAAGACATCTGGAGCTACTGTCTGAGCAATCTCTGTCTGTGCCAGACCCACAGTCTAGTGGACAGACATGAAGATTTATTTCGGTGTTTGCATTTGACAGGGTATGAAGGCTTCAGTTTGGCAACATACTGAGTTGAATTTGCTTTCAGTTCAGACCTCATTCATATTGCTTTATACTATGTATTTGCATTTGGGTTAAATAAAGCAGACTCAGACTTGATAGCAGGACATTCCAGATTTGGAATTTCGGACACTAAGACAATGAAAAATGCCAATAAGGGAATAAGGGAAAGAAAACAAATCATTATGGGCTAATGCTTGCTGCACAGATCAAATTACAAACACCAGGACTAATAATCAATCATTTTGTTTCCACGTGTTCCTGTATGTTACTGCAACACAGTGAGGCAGCTCTTATAACACGCATAAGAAACCCTCACAAGAAGGACTACCAAAGGGTATATTGCACTGATAGGGTCAATATCATTTTCAGCTTTGATTTACAATGACTCCAGACATCTCTGTAAATGGTGTGTCACAGCTGGTGTATTCTAACCCACCACCAGGAAGACAGCCATAACTAACACTTATTTTCCCTATTTTATGACCCCAATGTAATGTAAATTAAAGATATTAAGAAAACCTTCATGGATTATTAAGTTTCTCATTCACACCAAAGCTAGCTGGGTATTCCTGGTCATTGGCAAATATTTAACGAAAGATGCTGTAACCAGTTGTCATGTTAACAGGCTTCTCAAGGGACTCAAACATTACCCAGGAGGAAGGGGTGGGCAGTAAATGGTCTGCAAGGGGCACACTAATTCAAATGACAAAGACATATCCCAGAGACCTTCTAGCACCACTACATCCCACTGTAGGTCTGCACCGATAGCTCTTTCCCACTCGAGGATGAACAGATACCAGGCACAGATGGTTGATAGATCTCAAATCTGCTAATGACTTCATTTGGCACATGGAGTGCTAGAGCAAGAGTGCTAAACACAGCAACAGTGCTAAACTGTAAACGCACAGTATGCCACAGCAGTGACA